CACCCTCCCACCCAGAAAGGTGATTATCACCTCCTCAACCAGCTGGCACTGCATGCCCCTGCCTGAGGACACACCCAAGAAATCCATGCACTCTCACCCATAGAACCTAAAGTAGGGGACACTGGACAAAGTTTAAACACATACAATGTTCCCAGTGGGGCATAAGCAAGCTTCTGCCCTAGCCTTCCAGGCCCCCCTAGGCTAACTCCTGGGCAGACAGTAGCAGATAATGGGGTTCATTTCAGCAGGCATCGCATAGCTTTTATTTACAGAGCACATAATAATACTGACAACTCGGCAAGTCACTCCCTATCTACATCAAACACTCTATCCCAGCTTCAGTGTGAAAGCAGCTCAAGGGATTAGGGGACAACTGGAGACCACATTTGGCCTCTGTACTCATCTGACGCCAGATTAGGTAGCATCCTGTTTTCCAGTACTGGTACCCATTTCCCTGAGCACTCTCTCCAAGTGATGCCAAAGCTGTGTGCTAAACAACCAGGAATGGTCCTGTGCCGCCTGTGCCTCCTGGGCCAGCGGGGATGATATGGGGAGTTCCTGGTGTTTGTGCCCATTGTGCCCTGCAGTCCAGGAAATGAGGATGCTCCTGAGTCGGAGATGCTTGCTGAGGGAGAGGGGAAACCCCCTTCACTTCTTCTAGGGTAAGATTCCTACAACCCCTCAGGGGAATTGGAGATGTTCTGTCAGTCCTTGTCTTTCCCTGCTAGGCAGCTCCCAACATGTATGACCACCATGTCCCTTCTGGATTTGTCTCACTTCTGGACATCTTGTCTGACTGTGATCTTTTCAAGTAACAGCCTAGTGGGAAAGAGCTCACCTCATCATATCTGCCTGAGGCCTGATGGGCCTTCTGATAGCCTGGGACCACAGGCTGCTCTCTCCTAGGCCCCAGGACTATGCCAGGGAACACAATGAAATGGAGTCTATTTCCCCTGTTGCAGGTGGGTCAGGCTGGCTCCTGCCCAAGGAAGGTGCTTCTCCAATCAGACACTGCCATGAACTCCACCCAGAGCCATTTCCTTCGTGGCACTTCAGATTGCACTGGGAACATTGGTGAGTCAGAGAACTCAGTACTGCTCAGTCCAGCAGGCTGGGTGCCTCGGCAGTGACAATCTGGCAGTGAAAGCTGGCAGCTACAGGTATAGATTCCATGGCTTTGTCACTAAGAATACCTGTGGTTTTAGCAGGAATAGAGACACTTCCTCTTTATGGTGACCTGGGCTGGATCACCCCACTGATGAAGGGTCTTGCTGTGATTCAGTGCTCCCTCTGGAAACACTCCCACAGACACAGAACATCCCATTCGTTCTCCATATCTGCTAAGCCAGTCAGGCTGACAATGTTGATCACTGTCAAAACCCCTTACAGTTTTGTCCTCTGTGTTTTAACTTACAGTGCCTACTATAGAGTAAACACAGCATGGAGGCAACACTGACATAAAAACACACATTGCTCTACAGATACCACTACAGCCTCCCCACCCTGCCCTACTGTACCCTCCTCTCCCAGTAACTCCCGTTCCCTTCTCATATATTCATGTTCTGCTGTCCTTCTTCATCTCTGCCTTATTCCCTCTCTCCTGTCTCCTGGACCTTCTTTTATATCCGGGTTTCTCCCTACATTTACTCCCCATTAGATAACTGTATTTAACTTTTATGAATGAATGAATGAATTCAAAGCTATTTTAGATAAGGTCTGGGGAGATGTGAGCTTTCTGGGATTCACTGACCAGACACCATAGCCAACTCAGAGAGCTAAGGCCAGTGAAAGACATTGTGCTAAAGTAAGATGGATGGAACCTGTGAATTCACAGCCAAGGTCAATCCTGTATGTACAGTAGCTACTACTACCACACACACACACACACACACACACACACACACACCTTTACAAGCATAGGAGCAAAGGGTTCACCTAAAAAAAAAAAAACACTAAAAAATGGTGACAGGAAATTAAAAATTTTTCTACCAAAGTTCTGGACTTTTCATATATAAAAACCTTTTCTAAAACATGGGGGAAAATCATTTTTATCTCATGTGTATAAGCGCTTTATGTGTGTGTGTGTGTGTGCCTCTATGGCCCATGTGTGTGCAGTGCCCATGTAGGATCTCCTGGAACCCCAGTTCTCCAGGCTATGAGCTGCTGTCTGAGCCTTGGGCCCCCAAACAGCACCTGGTACTCTCACCCTCTGAGTCCTCTCTCCAGACCCCAGATGCTGCTTTTAATTGGGAGAAGATTTTTAACTGCAGAACTCTCCTGAAGGTCACGGAGGTAAGGAGGAAAGCTCAGACTTCCTTCCCCACAAGACAGCTACTGTCTCCAACAGGGAGAGAGGGTAAGGAAGGAAATGGAGGGGGAAGGGAGAGTGGCAAGAGGGGGTTAGGGGAAAGGCCACCTTGAGAAGCAGGGGCACAGGAACTCGAGGGTGCAAAGACCTTGAGGGGGTGATGGGCAAGGAACCCAGAGGGGCAAATGAGTCTGGAATGGGGGAGAAACTTGAGAAAGAGGAAGTGAGAAAGAGCAGGCTGGAGGTCCCAGGGAACCCAGAGGAATGGTCTAGAGAGAGACAGAGAGAGTGTGAATCTAGAGAAGCAGGGGAAACTGTTAAAGCTACAGTGCCACTTACTGGAAGGACCAAAAGACACTTTGTTGCTGTGGGCGTGGAAACCTCACCGCAGGGGAGGGGCGGGTAAATATCTGCCTAACTTTTGTCGGAGAACCAGCTGAAGACACGAGTTGCTGAAAGCAAGGCTTTATTCAGTCTCTGTCTTTCCTGATTCTGTTTGCCCACGGCCCCCGAGGGTGCAGCTGCGGGTGAGTGAGGGGAAGGGATAGCAGGAGTGGGAGCCCGGGACCACAGTGTCCTCGCCTATCCATTCACAAGAACGCTCCCTGCGCCTGAGTGCAAGGGGAACCGCGATCTGCTGGGAGGGAGGACCAGCCACAGGGCCCTGATGGAACCCTGAAGAGATGCAGGAAAAGATGAAGACTGGGAACCGGCATGGCTGGCGCACAGAAGGACTAAATTCACAGCCCTGTTGCCCGGTCTTTGGTGAATCTCCACGTGAGGTCCTCTGCGGGGCGGTACTGAGGACTCCCCATTCTCTCCGCAGCTCTAGTCACACCAGTCCGGTGCCGCACCTCAGGAAGGAACCATGGCAAAGGCTGCAGCCACCGGACGCAATCTTTCCCTAGTTCTGCGCCTTTTCGTTCTACTGAGCTGTCCGGGATCATCTGTGCAGCACCGTGAGTTACCGGGACAGAAATGAATGGGAGTGGGGGAGGGGAGCACTAAGGAGGAGGGGGGGGGAAGGAGCATGGGGCAGGAAGATCAAAGTCTTCTCAAGGGAAGCTCCTGGGCTTCTCTCTCATCACTATCACAGGGATTTAAGTATGGGCGCCTTGGTCATCACCGTGTCCCTCCGGCGGCTTTCTCTTCAGTGGATTGACCAAGTTAGGGGAAAGTTACAGCTGCAGGGCCCGAAGCAGGTGCATGAAAGAGGAGCGCACAGCAGCAGAGGGGAGTAGCTAGTGACGCCCTCAGCACCACTCATCGGAGCCTAAGCCCAGTCGCCAGTGTGGAGCCCTCCGGGAGGCGATCTCAGACAGCTGCCCTGGACCTAAGGCAGTTTGTGCTCTGAAGACTGCCTTCCCGGGGATTCCTCACAAGCCCTCCACCTTGCCTGGACCCATTTGTGCCTGAGCTTTCTCTCCCCGCCCCCCCACCCCCCTCCCCCCACGCTATTCTCTAGAAGATCGCAACTGACGTTTCCAAGGAGAAGGCAGCCACAACCACACACGTTCGTACTTTACTTCCTTTTTTGTTTTCTCTTGTTTCGTTTTAAGACAGGATTTCACATCAAAGCACACGCTATAGAATCTGCAATAATCCCTTCTCTCTCTCTCTCTCTCTCTCTCTCTCTCTCTCTCTCTCTCATCGGTCTTCCAAATTCCGGAATCGCAGATCTGCCCCACCAAACTCAGCTTCTACTCCCGTGTGTATACTAAGCCACCAGATTCGCTAGGCTCCCTTTCAGATAAGGAAAGTTCTCTTCACAGTTCACAGCCCGAAAGTGCTCTTCCTTCTCTTCCACGAGGTGGCGATATGAGCTTCTCTCAGCTAAGCAGTGCCTGCCACTGTGGAGAACTCTGGTAATGGTCCTGGGTGGGAGATTTCAAAAGCTTCTGTCCTTGCTCTTAAACCAGCATAATCTACCTCCTGGGGAGATGGCATCAGATAGTGGTGTTCATTTAGGAAGGAGAAGGAAGTTTTTTGTTTGTTTGTTTGTTTTTTGTTTTCTGTAAATGGCAGGCACTAAATAGCTTCTACCAGGCAGCCTCACTATATCTGTCCCACATCAAATACTCAGGTCTGCATTCCGTGTGACAGCAGCAGAAGGGAACACGCTGATGAATGGGACAGCAGATGTGTCCTCTGTCCCCAGATTAGGGCACATCCATGTCTCATCCCCACAGTTTCCTAACACCACCCCTAGCCTTGAGCCATCATCATCATTCCTGTGCTTCCAGCAGCACTAGTGCCCTTCTCCCTGCTCCTTCTCACTGTGCTTCTCAGCAGCGATGCTCCAGCATCCACAGACAGCATGGACTCTGCACTCTTCCCCTGGAGATGTTTGCTGTTCCATCCACTCTGGCACATGCACTTCTCTGAGATTGTTGATCCCCACTCTTCTGCTGCCAGATTTGACCAGCCTAGATTTTCTTTGTCCCGTAGTGTGGGGATCCTCTGACCAGGTCCAGGAAGCCATCCCTGGAGCACTACATTATGCCCAGGGATCTGCCAGTGTTTTGTTCTATTATCATTCTATTGCTGTGATAAACACTCTGCCAAAAGCAATGTAAGGGAGAGACTGATTTATTTGACTTCTGTAGCACAATAATAAAATCCCAGAGACATATAATGGGTTTCAAGCTGAAGATCAGAAAAGAAAAGCAACCAACCACTAGAGAGTTCTTACCTCTACCTTGCTGGATAATCCTGTCCTCAGTGTCACTGAAGACTGACTGCAGAATGAGACCCTGAGCTCAGGTCTTCCCTCCTGTCTTATAACCCTCTGGGATTAAAGACCATGCCCTGGGAATGGTAACACCCACAGTGTTTGGCCATTCCTACATCATTAACAGTATAAACAGTCTCTCAATACACACTCCCTTCTTAGGTGAGTCTAGGCTGGATCAAACCAACAGTTGAGCTAATCAGCAAAGATGTTCAAGTGTTAATTTTTCCTTTCTTTCTTCCTCTCTTTCTTTTTTTTAAATGACATTACTCAAAAAGACTTTCTTCTTACACAGGCAGAGACTGTCCCTGAGCCCCTGTTCCACATCCCTAACCTCACTGCATGTTTCCTTCACAGATGCTGCTTCTCTTTGCTACAACTTCACTGTTGGCAAGACAGGGTCTGGATTATGGTGGCACAAAGTCCAATGCCAACTGAATGAAGAGACTTTTCTTTCCTACGAAGGTAACAACTGCCATGCCATTGGTGCTCTGGGGAACAGGCTGAATGTCACACAGTTCTGTGAAAAGCAGGGTGATGCTCTGAAAGATGGAATTGACTTGTTCAAAAACCTAGCACTTGACATGAAGACTCATGCATCCAGAGGTAAGTTTCAAATAACCCCATAGGAATGGGGATATAACTCAGTGATAGAGGGATTGCCCAGCATGCGTGATGCCTAGGTTCAATTCCCACTACTGCAAACTAAATAAAAGAACATATTAGATGGCTCCCTGAAGGAAAAAATTCCTGATTTTTGACAGGTTAGGAACATTCATTGTTTTGTGGATAAAAAGAAAATGAATCATTGGTGGTCCCTCCCATCTAAGTGGTCCAGCAGCAAGGCTAAAATGTGGAGGGTAGAGCAAGGTCAGAGGATGGAAAGCGAGGATCCTGGGTAGACAGACAGGATTCATCAAGGGCAGAGGCTGATCTCTTTCCATTGGGCACAGATATGCAGACCAAGATGTGTTGTTGGCATGAAGTAGATGGACATTTCAACGAATTCTCTGACTTTTACCTCAACGGACACAAAATGTTGCGTGTTGACTCAAAAACTGGAAAATGTACAGAAGTTGATCCTGGATCCAGCTGGATGAAAGAGATATTGGAGGAAAACAAGGATGTAACTAGCTTCTTAAAAATGACCTTGCAGGGAGACTGCAGGTCCGGGCTTGAGGAGTTGAAGTTGCACTGGGGAAAAAAGCTGGAGCCTACAGGTAACTGACAAAAAAGGGGAGGAGGAAGCTCTTTGCATATGAGATGTGTGTGTGTGTGTTTAATAATCACTATGAGTTCTTGAGTTAATGGCCATTTTTCCATCATTGCTCTTATTTCTCACCCTCTTCTATCTCATTAATTATTCCTTCACTTTGGTTCTCATTAAGCATCACAGTCTGAGCATCCTTGTGTTTCCTGACCTTTTCCCTATTCTAGGCTCACTGTTGCTTTTCATCCCACTTGATCTTTCTTCTTCCCTGGCACCATCATCACAGGTGAGTGCCGCTCCTGCCAGAGGAATGATGAGGCCCATCACATTCCTCTACCACAGTTCCATGAGTCTTTGAGCTCAGGGGACATCCTCCCCTCCCTTCCTAATCAGGACCCACCTAAACCATTGTTGAGTAGCCATAGGGATAAAATTCTGTGTGTTGCTGAATTGCCTGAGCACAAAGAAGCTAAAGTTTTGAGATCTGGTCAAAGACTCCACTGTGCTTCCACTTCAGCCTCGCCAACTGCTTCTCCAGTTGCCGTCCAGCCTTTCTCCATGGCCATAAAGACCAACATCTCTGTCCTGCTGGTAATTCTCATGTGCTTGCTCCTGAATATTCTCTCAGGAGCCTTGGAATTAACAGGTACTGAGGGCAGTGTTGGGAGTGGGATAAGACTCAGGTGGGTGAGGAGTAAGGAAGACGCAATTCCTGAGGTCCTGCTCATTTCTCTTAACTGTAGCATCTTATTGAGAAAGGAGGCAAGAGATCTGGCATCCATGTCACCTGCCAGTAATAACTTGTGCATGTTCAGTCTTCGCAGGACAGGAATCATGTCACAGACCAGTTGGGAATGAGGAGGGAACACAGCAAAGTGTCTGATCAGAGCAGGTTCCTAATCAGGAGGGTTCCATGATGCAGATGTGCACACAGCAGGAACACTGAAGAACATGCTAGTTCCGCTTAGGGTGTGGAGGGAAGAGCATTCCATTCTACAGACAAAGATAAAGAAGATATAAAGAAAGAGATGGCCCAGTGACAAAAAACCACCTGCTCCTCATGCATCAGATCAGAGTTCTATTCACAGAACCCACAAAGTAGTTCATGACTCTAGGTCCAGGAGAACCTGCCCTTTCTTCTTCCTCACAGAACCCAGGTATTCACACAGTGCACATACAGACATGCAGGCTCACATTCAAACACACTAAATAGAATTGAATCAAGCAGCAGCAGCCTCCAGAACCCTTGGGGCAGTATCCCCAATGGAGACAGGAGAAACTGGGATGCTGATGGGGTCGACCTCTCCAATCTAGGCTGTGTAGATGGACAAGAGGCAGAGACAGTCACATCCACACCTGTATGTGTCATGCCAAGGCTGAAAAATTATTGAGAAGAAAGCTGGATAGGGCTCCCCCTACTCCTCCAGCCCCTCCCATCAGGCCCTGAGTCAGGAAGCAGAGCTAGTCATCACCACTTTATTCTGATCTCCAGGTCTGCAGCAGGGCCTGGGGCTCTGGGACATGGAAAGAAGGAGGAAGACAGTACGGGATCCAGGATAGGATGATAGAGTAGGGGACTGAATGACCCTCAGTGAGGGTGGCTGTGGGGTGGTGATGACTGGTACAGGGCACCCAGGAGAACTGACCCAGACTCTCCTCAGACCCTTCAAAAGACGTGTTTCCTTTCTACAGGTTGAAGATGCTCCAGAGAAGTCATAAGGGTTCATCTGGTTCAGACACTATCCCTTTCCATCAGTCTCAACCAGATGAATCAGAATTCTGCGAACACAGCATTTCATGGTCTTTTACTCTGTTGTCTTCGTTTACGTCCTTTCTTATGACCTTGTGCTGTTTGCCTGGTGCTCCCTGGTGGGATTTGCCCTTAACATGGAACTACTTGAACTAGAGATCTGGAAAAGACTATGGTTATGTACCCATTCCTAGCATAGGAAACAGGGTAACCAGATCTCCTTAGTGGGTATGTGTAGTTTTTACTCCTGTGTATCATATCAGTATTTAAGTATATATGATACAAAGGAATACTTCATAAATTAAAAGATAATATCTTAAGATATTATTACTATTATATGTTAGTTTCTGTGACATGCACTAGGTCCAGAAATGGCCACATGCACACTGGGGACAGAGAACCCAGAAGCTGCTCAGTCTGACAGGCTGGCTGCTTCTGCAGTGACAATCTGGCAGTGAAAGGAAGAAGGTCCTGGGAGCTGGTGCTGCCGGGTCCACATCGTCTTGGTGTAGGTCTGGGTCAGTGTTTCTCTCCACCATGCTCAGAGAAGCTTCTTCTGCACATCCAGACCCAGGATGGAAGGAAAGTGAACTCACACTAGTTTTCTCTGACTGCACAGGGACACTTTGCACAAGTTCACTAGCACTCACACACACATTACACATACACACAGTGACAACGTAAGAACTTTAAAGTATGGAGAATTCACTGTTGAAAACAATATATATATTTTTTTGAGTTAGAACCTAACTATATAGCACAACATGGAATGGAACTCACTCTGTAGACCAGGCTGTCCTGGAACTCAGAGATCCACCTGTTCCTACATCCCCAGCATTGTGCTTAAAGGTGTGTGCACCACACCTGACTGATTCTTGGGTTTTGAGCTCTTATGGTGTGCTACTAAAGTATTACTAATGTAAGATGCACTATTTCTCCCTAATTAATTTTGTAACTATAGTGGCATTAAGTAGACTGGCCATACTCAGATATCTCAGGTATCACTAAAGGAAACCTGTAACAAACTAATCCTGGGATAGAGAAATTGAGGACTAGTTGTTTAGTAGAAGTCACTGGTAATGTCTGTCCTTTATTTTCATTACTGGAAGCCATCTGATTGCTGACTTGGCATCTTTAAAATGCCATCTTTCTGCTCAGATGCTTATGAGCTTTCTTCTTATGATTGTTTTACAGATGTTCATGTTTCTACAAATGTGTGCATGGCTGCATTGTTGTCAGGGTTTCTGTCCTGCCCAGTTCCCACAGTTGTTAAGTCCCAAAGAAATCACGCAGAGATCTACATTAGTTATAAACTGATTGGACCATTACCTCATACTTCTTAACTCTTAAAGTTATAGCTTATTATTAGCCCATTATTCTTATTTGTGTTAGCCATGAGGCTCAATACCTTATTCAGCAGGGCAGTCACATCTTGCTTCTTCTGTGGTCGGGTCAGGACTGCAGAGGCATGGACTTCCTCCTTCCCAGAATTCTCCTGTTCTCATTGACCTACCTATACTTCCTGCCTGGCTACTGGCCAATCAACATTTATTTAAAATAATAATTGACAGAATACAGACCATTCTCCCACACCACTGTATTGTGTAATCTTTCCTAAAATTTTTCAAAGAATCATCTTGTCATAATTTTATTTTACTTTTCAAGTTTTGTGACAATGTATATTTCATTTGTGGTAAAGTAATTGTAATATTCTTTTGTTCTTTGTCATGTTGTAATACTCTTTTGTTCTTTGTCATGTTGTAATACTCTTTTGTTCTTTGTATACTGATGTTGACAGGTCTTTTACAGACTTGTCAAACCCCTTTTACTTTTTGGGGGTTTTAAATGGTGGTTGAGTATATTGATATTGTGTGTGGTTCAACAAATAAAGTATACCTGGGGATCATAGTGCAGAACTAAGCCAATAGAGTCCAAGGAGTGTTGGCACACACCTTTAATCCCAGGAGATGAAAGACAGAGGCAGAGGGATCTCTGCTGTAGGAAAATCCTACAGCCAGTAGCCGTACTGGGGAGTGGACTCTTATACTATAAAAGGCAATGTAAAGCTTGCAAGCGCTGTCTTTTCCAGCTTGGTATTTGGTTTCTATTCTCCATTCCAGCAGACAATTCTGATTTGTGACTGTACTCCCAAATAAATAACTGTCTATTATTCTCAACTCTGAGCTAGTGTGGGATTTCTTTTAAGCGTCCTTCAGATCTCTGTTAGTTCAAGGCCACCCTGGGCTACACAAGATTGAATCTGTCTAAAAAAGAAACAGGGCTCCCACAAAGTTGACCCCAGAACTTGGGATCACATGCCTTTAATCCCAGCTCTTGGGAAGTGAAGAAAAGAGTGACATGATAGGGTGGGGAAAAGAATAGAAGTTGCGAAGAGATAGGAGCTCAGTACAGTCTGAAGAACAGTACGGTCTGAGACAGTCAGTCTTAGCAGTCTGAGGATGCAACCTGAGGACAAGATTGCCCCTTTGGTCTGAGCATTGGTAGAGGTATGAACTCTCTAGTGGCTGGTCACTTTGCTTATCTGATCTTTAGCATTAACCACTGCATCTTACTCTGATTTCATTATTAACACCAATTAGAACTCATATTACTTCTGGTGCCTAGATGTTTGGGGTATGAGTTCATGAAAGTGCAGGGACCTCCATATGCTGGAACTACAGACAGTCAAAGTCATCGCTCTACCAGCTAGGTTATCCTTTTTTTTTTCTCCTGATGGACTTTCTCTGAACCTCTTCTTGGGCTGCTGCTAAACTAGGCAGCTGCCATGAAATCATTCATGTTTCAAACTGTTCTATGCAGCAGCAGTGAGTATTACAACTTCATCTTCAACATCAGCAGATTTGGTGAGAAAATTGGGATTCCGAAAGGAATAATTAGTTAAGAAATAGAGTTTTTCCAACATTAAAAGATTGGAAATACAATTAAAATAGAGTAATTGGGTCTCTGTATGATTACACAATGCGTGATTTAAAAATGGGACAATTAAATGAAAAAATAATCAGCTTAACCAGGATTGACATTCTATAAATTATAATTTTTATAATTCTTGTTTTTGCTTTAATAACTCTTAGTTAATCTCTTAAAAGTTGCTTGGGAAAAATAGTTGTTTGGTTTGACTGCCAAGATATAGGCCTTAGAAAAACTTAATAAAACAGATTATAGAAATATTCAAATGTAGATAGAAGAAGTTAATGGAGATCAAGTTTCAGGGATGAATCTGGGGGTCCTACCACCCTCAGATAGTCAAGGATGGCACAGAAATGAGGATCCAGAAGCTAGTGCACATCTGGAAGAGAAGTTTCTCGCCCTGCTCTTCAAAGGGATTTGGGTGTCACAAAACCAGGGTTCCTATGGCTTCCTGCTCCCACTTTGTACCTCCCCTGCACGTTTCTCTCACAGATACACACATTCTTAGTTGCAGCTTCACTGTGAAGACTCATTCCATACCTAGAGAGCCTTTCTCTAAAGAACAGTGCTCAGTGGACGGGGTGCCTCTCCATCCATATGATAATGACAAATAAAAAAGAGGAGGGAAATGCTCCTAAGAAATGTGTGGATTTGTACCCAAACGAAAAGACATTGGAGAAGAGTTGAGGCAGCAGCTACTTACCATGAACAAGAGGCAGACCAGACAAGGGGTAAGTATAGGACAGGACACAAAGATAGAAGGTGCTAATCAGACTTAGGAAGGACAGAGCCCATGTGGGAAGGGGCTGTGGTTGTATGTGTATGAAAGGTGCTGACCTTAGTGGACACCCACATACGTGAGGACATACTCACACACAGACACAGAGACATACATCAATTTTTAAAATTAAAGAAATGATACACAATGATACATGTTTCTCTGCTGCCCCGTGTCACCAGAGTTCATATTGTGATTCTCCAAACAGGAAATTCCCTGTGCTGTACACAGCACCTTTCTCTGCTATAGATGCACCAGAGGCATAAATTGGATAAATTACCATTGGCACTATAGTGATGTGGGAGTGTCATATATCAATCTGTTGATTTCATTGGTTAAGCAATAAAGAAACTGCTTGGCTGGCCCTGATAGGTTAAAACATAGGTGGGAGGAGTACACAGAAGAGAATGCTGGGAGGAAGAGGAAGTGAGCTCAGACTCGATAGCTCTCTTGTCTGAGGCAGAGGCCTCAGACAGAGACGCCATGCAGCTCTCTCCAGGGCACACACGATGAAGCTCCGACCCAGGATGGACGTAGGCTAGAATATTCCCGGTAAGCGCACCTTGGGGTTCTTACACAGATGATTAGAAATGGGCTAAATTAATATGCGAGAATTAGCCTAGAAGAGGCTAGATAGAAATGGGCCAAGCAGTGCTTAAATGAATACAGTTTGTGTGTTGTTATTTCGGGGCATAAGCTAGCAGGCGGCCGGGGTGCTGGGGACGCAGCCCCGCAGCTCCTATTTCAACACTATAGATCTCTCTCTCTCTCTCTCTCTCTCTCTCTCTCTCTCTCTCTCTTTCTTTGTGTGTGTGTGTGTGTGTGTGGTGTGTGTGTGTTGCATTCCCCTAGAAAAGGATTACCACATCACATTTATAAGAGAGAGAGCTAGGTATCTTGTAGAAAACAAGTAACACGGGCAAATTTCAGGAACGACTTGTAGTGTTTTCATAAGGAGAAATCCTCAGACAGGAAGAAATTGTAAATATACATAGTTGAGCAAACTTCTACTTTCAAAGCAGCCACTTTTATCTTTCCATGCTTCCATTTTTTTGTTGTTGTTGGTGGTGGTGGTGGTGGTGTCGTTTCACGTATTGGGCCCATTGGGTGAGTTATGGTTGATTTCCTACTTTCAGAGCAGTTTTGATCATTTGAAGTTGGTGCTGAGAGCTGAGACTTTGCTGTGCTGGTTTGAGTTCTGGCCTCTGAGGCTGTGGTGTGTCCTGTAGGTGTCCTCACTAGAGTCTGCTCTTTCCTTCCTCATCGTCTTCCTCAGCACAGGGTTCTCCTTTTGGTGGATCCTGCTGTCACAAACCAGTCTCCTAAATGCACTGGAGGGTTTCACCCTCACGTGTGCTCTGAGTCATCTTCCTCCAAGCACGGGTGCCAGAACCATTTATGGTTCAGTGCTCAAGAAGTTCAGCCATGTGCAGTCCATCCATCGACCCAGCTCCTACATGGATTTTCTTAGACATAAATGCTCACTCCATTATACATGTTAATGTGTAGGCTTTGTTAGCTTCTGCTTTACAATGAACATGAGAGTCCTGGGTGGCAGAGGATTCGTGTTCATGTCCATCAAACTCTCTCATGAGATGAAAAAGAACCTCAGGCGATAATGAGAATGCACTTGAAAAGCTGAGGGCTGGAGAAGGAAACATAGACTTGGGAGAAAATGTGGCAATGATCAGAAAAACGTGGTAGATGCAGAAGTGGGGAGAAGGGGAGAGGAAGGAGACTGAACGTGAGACAGGAAGATCTGGTACTTCAGATCAGACAGCAGGGACGGCAGAGCCCGGAGAGATTATTTCCTAACACCAATATGCTGCGTTATTGATAAATGCTCCTTTAACAAAAAAATCCATTCCTATTTCTGTTCTTAGTCTCCTGTGGTAGATTTGAAGCAGTGTTAACTCAGCCCAGCATGGTGCTCACAATCACCTGCAATTCCAGTTCTAGGGGATAAAACACTCTATTTTGGCCTCCATGGGCAAACAGCATGTACATGGTGCACCCACATATATTCAGACTAAACAATACCCATATGCATATAATAACAAAATTTTAAATAAAAATAAATTTTAAAAATCTGCTTATGTATTTCATATACCGAAATACTGATGTAATATACTCAGCTAAATCACAAGGTCAAAAGATACGTGTGTTTTCTTGTGTGTAAATGTTATTTACTGAAATATACATAAAAACAGAGTTCTGAAAATGAGTTGCCATACATGTCAGGGGCCATGAGAGTTACACCAGGTGACAGCTAGTGTTCAGTTGTCAACCCACCAGAGGAGTGGTTATCTGATGGAGGAGAATCCTGTCCAGACAAGGTCTGCAGGACCATTGACTCTGGAAGCTGTTGCTCACTTTTGCTAAAGCAGTTCTGTGTCTCCCCAATACCTGTGTTGTAGTGTGTGTAATTTCATGTAATGTGTACACATAATCTTATGATTACACCTTAATCTTATGTGCACATATATCCATGAGTGGACAGAAATATGACTTTTTGTTTAGCTGTGTAAGATTGATTTTTAGAAAATACACTAGGATATGCTTCATAACCTGCTTTACTAACTACACATAATTAGTTCTTTTAAACCTCAGAACAAGTTCAATTAGACAAAGGCTTTTTTGTTAAAAGAGAACATCATAGCTTCGTACAAGGTCTGAGTCACAGGTGTCTTCAAAGGACTACACAGAGCATGCTTAGGAAAGTACACCTATTCTTTGCTTGTAAATCTGCTGACAAAAGACATGTTTCAAAGTTTGTCTCTGGGCACTGTGCCCACACTTTCACTGATCATGGTCTTGTTCCTGAGACCTTGAGGTCCTGTGTTGCCATGGTAGATGGCTTGGTTTCTTACCACTTAACCTAGGAAAGTGCCTATGACCATTGAGAGGTGACTCTTGAAACTTTTTCTTATGCTCCAAGCCTCTGGGGAAAAGGTATTTATATAAAGAGAAGAAGTTAGTGTCACGAGCCATTTCCCCCCTAAAAATCATTACAGGAACCATCACCCTGGGGAGTCTACAGAGAACCCCACACCCATAATTATGTTCTATTGAGAGAACCTGCCCCACACCCAATTAACTTATCTGTTAGCAGAACACGCCTCACACTCCAGCTATCCAGGGAACCAGGTGTGGCAACTTGTGACTTCTTGGCCTACCTGTCCGAATGTAACCTCTTGACCTACGTGACGAACCTGGCCTACATGACCGGGACCACGGGGCAAGATCCCATGCCCTGCCCACCAAGTCCTCATCCAGGGCCTATATAAGCAGCAACCATGATCCCAATAAAGGAGGCTTTGACAAATCTGCTTGACCTCCTTCTTCTGTCCTAGCTCATTCCCTTCCAGGTAGTGCCCCTCCAAGACCCTGGAATAACTGATTGCAGGGTGGGTTACAAACCTCTAGACTGAGTAACCCACCCAACGCAATCGACAAGTTAGGAGGAATTAG